GCTGGTGGCAGCCGGCGCGTGTGGGGCTGCGGGCGCGTAGCGGTGGATCGCCATCCTTTGCGAAGGAGCGGGGACACGCACACACACACACACACCGCCCTCATCCAGCCCCCGCCGCCGTCGCTCCCCGCATGGTCCCCGGGACCGGCGGTGGGCTGCTCCCCGCAGAAGTTGCGGGGGAGAGGAGAGACGGCGTGCCCAGAGCTTTGCTCCTCACTTCCCTGTGCATTAGGGCAGCTCAGCTCCTGAAACAGTCACACCGGTCCTCTGCTGCGCAGGCTCTGGGGCGTTTCTGCATCTTCAGTGTTAGATTTTTGTGCCGTCCAAATGCAGCTGACATCGCACGGTCTTAAATTCTTATTTCTTTGCCTTGAGGAGAAACTCGGTGGGGAGACAGAGCTAACAAAATTTCACCGAGGTGCAGGTGTTGTTCTGTCACTAAGCAGCACACCGAAACTTGTGTGTTTAAACCTCATGTCGAAATTTCAGTCTGGGTTTTGGGGTTAGCTGGACTTAAATGCCAAGTGCCCCAGCGCGGTTTGCATGAGAAGGTGAGAAGGGCCGGATCCCCTCAGTGCGGTGACCAAACTTAACCAGTTTTATCAGCTGTGTGCAGTTGATAAAAATTCGATCAGTTTTGAATTTGCACTGCATGTGCAAATTCTGTGGCAGCTTTGCAAGTGCAAGCTCTTCAGAAGCCCCCACGCTGCCTTAGTGCAAGGCTCTAAAATCGCCACCTTCATTGTGGCACCTCTAAAATGATAATCTGCGGGAAGGTTCGAGGTTTATTAATCCCCTGCCTGCAGGGTTTGGTGACTGTTGGGAGAGGGTTCTCTTGGGTTGCCCTTAGCACCAGAATTGTTGTAAGTTTGTAGTGGAAGTACCATCTGCAAGAAGCTGTCGGGCTCCCTTTAGCGGGAGAGCAGCCACACAGCCTCTTCTGTGAAAGCGGCCAGATTGCAGAGGACAGAGCCCGCAAAAACGTAAATGTGCTGGCGCTGAAAAAGAAGAAAAACCCCACCAGTTATTATCATGATTTAGTGTGAAACAGATGTGAAATTAATTTCACAAAGACGCGTTGAAGGTTTTAATTGTTTTTTATTAGGGCATAGGTTGAGGTTTGTATGCTTTTGTTGCTTTTATTAGTTAAAAAATGCAACACGGTGAGTAAACCAGAGAATATTTTCATTGTGAGGTACCCTCAAGCTTTTGATATTCAGTAGCAATCCAGGAAGCAGTGTTAGACAATTAAAGCCACATTTAAAGCAGGAGTGTTTTTTAAATGTGATCTGAGGCTTTTGATTTGAGGAAAAAAAAAATAAAGAGCTACTGCAAATAGTGACGTAGCTTTTTTTCTTTTTCCTCTTTCCTTTTTATTTTTCTTCCCTTGGCCTAATTAAGTTTAGTCATTAAATACATATCATCATTCTGGGCTGGCTTTATATATGTGAGTATCAGTAGTTCCTGTGAAGTCCCTGGAGCTGTTCCAGTTTATAAATCTCAGTGGTTACAGTATGAGGGGACTGTCATATCCTTTCTCATATTTGGCTTCATCAGATGGATGTAGTAAAGCATTTTGAATTATTAATGTCTCTGGGACTTCAGGGAACAATTACTACAAAGAAAACTATTAAACTTTATGATTTCATACAAACAAGGAAAAATAGAGAAAATAAAATATTCAAAATCTTTGTAGCTTACAGCCGAGATCGTTTTATTAACCCTTTTTTTCTTGTTGCTGATGTAATTTATATACTGCTGTTATGATTTTTGATATTTTTAAGTGTCACACCGTATTAGGAACGGTGAGAAGTACAACACAGACTCTCTTAGCTGTATTGTCCAAGAGAGCAAAGTTCATTATCCCTGATCTTCATTTATAGACAAGTCCAAGAGATAAAACTCTCATTGGTCATTAAACTTACACACCACTATAGTTGGTCAAGTGGAACACCACCCCTTGACTGTTTCTTACAAGTCAACAAAAAGGATCCTAGACAACACCAAGGGTTGTTGTCTTTTTCCAAGGGCTGTTTAGATTCCTCTTTACGCTTTCCCAGGCCAGAGTGAGACCCTTGTGTGACTTAGTTTCATACAGACATGGTACTCCCTGCTTGCTTCTTGCATTTAGCATCCACACTTAAGAAGTGATGAATGGATCTTCATTTTTGATGAAATCTTGGCATAGGGTTTAGGTCTTGAAACAGTGGTCAGTGAGTACTACTGTTTTAGAACTGTGGTGCAGTGTGGGAGATGGGAAAACCCAACAGTGGTAACATAATCCTGTGAAGTGTTTATTTTTCCTTACCCACATTGAATGTGATTGTTAGAGACCTTGGTCACAGTGATTTGTAACACAGATTGGTCATTTTTACAAATTCTCCATTTTCAATTCTGTTGTGTATGCAGTCAAATACTAAGTAGTAATCTTATTTAATATATATGGTATTGTGTGTAAACCTCCTCCACTGGAAAGGAAAAGAGAGAGAATTTGCAAGAAATGATCTAAACCTATAGGCATTTGGCTCCACCTTCAGAGATAAGAAGGAACAAGTGACAAAGCTTTAATGACTAAGCTGCCCTGCCTGCCTTCTCTCAGAAGTGTAATAGTGAGACTTTGTTCCCAGTGTTCTTAATGAACTGTGAAGGAAGTTTGTGTCAAGCTGATGCCTGGATCTCAGTTTCTAGATACTTGTGATCAGCAGCAAAAAACCAAACATCGGTGGGATGACCTGTGGTTAATCCTGTCTGTGTGTTATCTGTATGCTGTGGTTAATGCTGTTCTGCATGCAGAAACCAGGCAGTATTTCCACATGTGAAATAGCAGATATGTTCAAGTAAACAAATGGCAACTTTTTTTTTTATTATTTTTTTTAATGTATGAGAAGTTATGGTACCTATACAGTAAATGAATGTGAGAATGGCTGAGCATGTGTAGAGGAGTAAGTAGAATCACAATGCCTTTTTTTTGTCTTCTGCTGATCCCTTAAAGCATGATTCTCTTTTTGTGGTTTCACAGGAGCATTTGTTTTGTTTCTCCCAATTCACTTGCAATTATTTCTTCTTTGTTCTCAAGTATTAAGAAATAATTCTGAATGTGTCAATTTTCTTTTTTTTTTTTTTTTTGTAGGTTCTGCCCAGTTGATACTTTCTGGGACAAGTATTATAGAAAAAAATGACTGTAATGAAACTGTAGTTTTACCTTGTTATGTGACTAATCTAGAACAGAAGGATGAAAATGTCATGTTTGTTATATGGAAAAAACAAGGAGAGAAAATTTTTTCTTACCATGGAGGAAACAAGAAGTTGAATACTTATCCCTCGTTTTCGTCTGCAAGATTTTTGTCCCAGGCGGATTTAATCAAGGGAGTGGCCTCACTCGTGCTCCGCAGTGCAGAAGCAACTGTTGGAAATTACAGCTGTGAAGTAACAGAATCAAACAGAGAAGGAGAATTAAAAATGGAACTTAAAAACAGCTCAGGTGAGTTGCCTGCTATTGTTTCAGAACCTGCTGGGAGGGAAATCAAGCAAAATGTTAAGAGAAAAATTATCAATGTGGCAATGTATTCCTTTAAAGTTAAATACAAAAAATGTAGCATCCAGGCCTTCTAACTTGTAAGCTAATATGGCTTGTTTTAGTTTAAGTTAGAGGAGAGTGCTTCCATGGGAAAGATCTGAACGCATTTTTTCATTCTGTAGAAAAGTCTGAGCATGATTTAGGTCTTCTGTAGGAAAATCTATGTTTTCCCACATCTTTTTGATTATATAGGTGCTGATATGTTCAGCAGTCTCATTTTATTGTGTGACGTATTTCTGATCATCTTCATAATACTGAAATGTATACATCCATCACAGTGGCTACAGAGATCTTTTCTTGGAAGAATTGCTTCTTGCAACCTTTAATTCTGCTGGGAAACTACAGGTGGAACTAATAGAAATTCTGTTCTAAGAGCTCTAAAACTCAATCTCAAAGTAGGCAGTTTTCTAGCGAGGTTGAAAATGCCACTGCTGGATGGCAACTTGTGGTTTTCTAGCATTAAATGTCATCTTCAAAAGGTGGTGTTTAAAGTGGTGTTAAAATGAGTAAGATTCACTAAATTAATTTCTCATCTAAAGAACTCTTTTACTTGAACTTGTCAGTCCCAGCCCACATTCTCCAGCACCTTAGCTGTTGGGTAATGGGTTCTGTTGTACATGTGTTATCTGTCCAATGCTATGCAGATGTGACAGTTTCACTGGACATGGGTGTGCCCTGTTCATCTGTTTTGCACGGGAGACTTGCCTTTGGAGAGCTGCTTGGAAGCACTGCATATGTGTAGCACAAGGAGTCTTACCCATGCACTCTAGAATTTTGTTTGGTTTTGCTACTAGTTTCTGCATTTCACAATAATATATTTGTGAAGCTCAAACAGATGTGGCTTGTGTCCTGCTGTAGACATTTGTGTAATTCTCAGCTGGGTCTAGTTGTTGAGTTAACCATATAACCTGCAAACAAATGTGATCTTGAAATTGAGAAGGGCACAGCCACTGAAAGTGATGATGCTAGAAAATCATTCATTTCTTAAAATGATGCAAAAACAGGGGACGAGGTATACACAGTTTTAGTTTCCTTCATTCTCTTACAGCTTACTCAGCCTTTTTTGGCTGTTTATGCAATTCAGTGTTACACTCCAGAAGCAGAAGCAAACCGTGAGAATGTAGAGAATCAAGTCCCATTTGCAAGTTTTATCTTCTGTGTCTATAATTATGAGACTGGTATAAAGACAACAGAGCAGGAAACTGATACAATTTTTCTAATTTCATTTTCTAGTTGTCAGTTGCGGCGATGAAACACCAGAGGAAAAATGTGGTTGGTGAAAAAATTCAGTTTTGAGGTTGCATTAGGTTTGAGAGTATATGCTAGAAAATGCAAGGCTTAGGTTTGAGGGTGTAGCTGAATGAAACACAGTCGCTTGCTCTCTCAGTTCTTCTGCACAACTTTTTGTTGCTTGCTCCTCCTCAGTGTTCTAGAGAAACTCTTGAGACAGTAAGCTAATAGAAGAAAGTGTAGTGAGTGAGTTTTGAAAAGGTTTAATGGATAATAGAAATCCTGTACCAGGCTTCACTCGGTCATTTCTGAGCGATGAATTCATGCTGTCACTACTAGCATGTTCCAGTTGATGATTTTACAAAGATAGTCATACAAGAGCCAGCCATCCTCCATCTCTCTTTAGAGAATTCCTGGATTCACCTAGGCAGTGGGTAGCAGTGTGAGCAAGATTTCTGTGCAAGTGCCCTCATCTTTGTGCACAGACACTCTTTCCTGATCAGGAGAGTGACTGTCAAATTTCCCTGTTTTCTTGTCTTTTTCCTCTCTCCGTCATCTCTTTTCTTGTTGCTTTTTCTCTTCTTTCCTTGTCCTTCTCATTTCTTCTTTTCTTCCTTGTCTTCTTCCCCTGTTTCCTTTCCCTTTTACCTCTTCACTCTTCCTTCCTCCCAGTCTGGAAGTCTCTCTCCTTAGCTTGGAACTACCTACCTTATATTGGCTCTCAAAACACTACTTTATGCCAGGAGTTTAGTTGATTACTGTGAATCATCAGAGTAAGGGAAGTGTATTTCCAGGAAAATGCATTCAGCAGTTCCTCTTTCTTGCATGTTGCATGTGTCTGCAGTATTGCAAGCACTTCTGTACAGGAAGTTCTTTCAGACTCCAGCACCAGACCACACGTGGTTCTGTGTTGCACGCTGAAGCCCCAGCAGGTACCAGGCTTCTTGGCTGCTTTATTTTTGTGATACCAGATAGTGTCAGCTGGAAATGCTACAGAGGAAGTGAAGTGGCTTGCAATCTCTGCTTGCAGTTACTTTCTTTAATTATTCTCAGTTGCATCGAACAGCATCGCTGGGATTTGGCTTATCTAGGGAGTGGCCACTGTGCACTGACTGTTCAATATTTGCTTTTTCAGTATTGTGAATGAACCAAAAAATCTTGCTTTAAACAATTCAATAAATTAATCCTGTTTTGGTGAGTTAGAAGTTAGCAGCTGTTTCTCCATTTTCTTGCCTTCAGCTTAGTGTTTGCCTTGTATTTCTGTTGTATGCACTGTATCTTCTGTGACCTCTTGTGGGAGGAGGGGAGGGAAGGGAAGGGAAGGAGGGAAATTTGTGGACTTAAAAGCAGCTGCCCTCAGGGTATTTAATTGGCATTGAAAATTGTGAGGTATTTCTACTTAATTGTTTCTGGAGCAATAGATACAACTTTTATGTATGGAGAAAAATGCAACAAATATGCATCTTAATAAAGATTAGAAATTTCTTTGGAAGCAAACATACAGGCAGAGGAATGGTGGCAAGTCTAATGTAAGAAATGGAGACTCTGGGCTCCACTGAGTGAGCCTAATTGAATGTATGAGCAGAGGTGCAAGAATTAACTGCATTTTCTAGTTCAGCAGAGATATTTTTTACATTTTATGTTGGAAGGTGGCTTACAGGGTTTTAAAACATGACTGACTGAACAGCCTAAGGCATCCAAAATGCAGAGGAAAAATGCCTAAATGGATGATGTTGGGAAGACCTAAAATTATCAAGGCAGTGTTTCCCTCTCACTTAGGCTAGCTCCTGTATTCCTTACCACACATCCAGATTTCTTTGGGAGTTACCACAATTGAAAGTAGAATAGAATGGCTGAGGAGGCATCAGATTGGAATTCCCATATCTTCTCTGCTTAGCCTAAATACTGTTTTTCTGATTTACAGAGATTTTTATAGTTCCACAAGTTCAGTAGCTTCTAGTGCCAAAAATTAGCACCAGCATATTCTCTGCTCTAGTGGAAATTAAGACTTTCAGTTTGGAAAATACTGGGATAACTGGAAGAACTAAAGTAGTAGATTATCACTCAGAAGATCAGGGAGAAAAATATATAGGTGTAGAGGACATTGGTTTCTTAGCCTATTATAATTCTTAATGCTAAATTACATATAGTATTGGGCAATCTAGGGCATAGCCTAAGAGGAATGATAAATATAAACCAAATAGCCTAAGTTCTTTTTCTCTTCTTACTATTTTTCTTCGTTTGTTCTCTAGGATCATGGTTCCTTCTAGTGGAAAGGGCTGTCATCATATCATTGATGTGCTTACTTGTTATTTTTTGTGCAGCTCAGTTAAGTGTTATTGGTAAGTATTTACTCTTTAATTCTTTGCAGTTACTGATTTGTCCTGAAATCAGTTTGATGCATAAAGGTACCCATGTAAAATGCAAGGTGGTGGTCACATCTAAAGGATATGTGGGAATTGATCCAGATAATAGAGCTGTGGTGTGTGTGAAACTCTTCCTCACTGTTGATTCACCATGACATTATTGAATAATTCAAAGATGTTTTATTATATGGCTATAAAATCAATATGAGAGAATGTGTGTGCTCTCTTCTTAATGTAAAAATTTTCATTAGTGTTTTAGGACTGGCTTAGTTATAATTTAACAGTGACATTGGTGATTTTGTTAATTGTTTTTAGAGGCAATACATTAATTCACCAGTGTCAGACATCTTTAGATGTTCTTTATACACTGTTGTCCAACATCTGTGCAGTGCAGAATGTACTTTATGTCCTGGTCTTTCAATTTGTTACCTTGGTCTTTGAGGTTTTTCAGCCTCTTTCAATTAGTAGACTTGTAAAAAAGAAATTAAAAAAGAGAAACATTTCAGCTAAGAGTCAAGTCCATAAGAAATGGAAAGTAATTGTACTCAGAGTGATTTGTAATAATCATATACATATTCAGCCATCTATATATAACTTCCTTTATTGCTTTTTCATAAACCTCTGGAAGTGCTACGTGACTCTTCAAAGGTCTATCCATGGTCCAAAGTTGAAAACTAATACATACTTTTAAAAATCATTTTTTCTCTGTATTGTTACATTCCTGGTTTTCATAGTTTATAATAATGATATGGGAACCTCTGATCTCTTCAGGATTTGTCATTGCCCTGCATTCATAGCAGAACTTCAGCATTTTTAGGAAAGTAATAATTTCATGGAGAAACACTGTCATTTTATAAGAGTAATTTTAGAATGCTTGGATGCTTTTTGGATGTTTTTGCACCTGTGGCATTCATTGAAAGGTCTTGGCTTCTGTGGGGAAATGAGGTGCTCTATTTCTAACTTAATAAATATGGGTGGACTTACTGTTTGTTGGGATTTTTTTTGTGTTGGTACATTCTTTTTCATTTAATTTGTACTCTTTTAGATAACCTGGGAATCCATCAGTGATACTTTATACCTTTAAATAGGTTGTTAAATTTGGCATGATTTTTCTTTGTAATATTTGGGAATGTATGTTTTCTTGGTTTTGTGAGTTAGGTGTTGTGTTGGTTTATTTGAGGTGGGGGTTTTGGGACTTTTGTTTACAGGATTGGCTTTAAGGATTTAAGTTCCTTTAGGAACAGAGGTGATGTGATGTGTCTGAGCTCACCCAGTGTCATGAGGAAGAGAATGGAACCTGCAATTTCTCAGTCTCTCTGACACTCACCTGAGAAACAAATTCACTGTAACATTTAAATGTCAGCAGTGCATCTACCTGAATTAACCTGTACCATGTCCCAAAATTATTCTGATAACACATCAGCTAAATTGTATGGAAGGAGAAAGTAAGAATTTGACTAGAACACTGATGCCAGGTGTCATTTTTCTGAGCAAACCATATTATTCATATCAAACAATGAAAACAAATTAAATCTTGGGAGTGTGTATGGTTTTAATTTTTAGGAGTTTGAGTTTCTTTATTTAGGAGCAGTCTAAATCATAAATCTGTGTTTTAGTGAGACAAATCTGTATGTCTGATTGTTTTCCTCTCTGTCTCTTTAAGGATTAAAATACGAAATTGAATCTCAGAAGAAAGTGTGCGTTATTGTAGCACTTGTCATCTTTGCAGTTGTAGCTGGAGTAGGCGCTGCTCTTTTTATCCAAGGTAAGTGATTAAAATTGCTCTCTTAATTTAAGGGAATAAGAGTGGAAAATAATCTCTTCTGTTCTGTAGTATGGAAGTTAGTACCACCTATTAATTGCCATCTATTAATTTTTAAATAAGAAGAATATACAGACTACAGCAGAAACATTGGAGTTGTCAGGTCATCAAGTGAAAATAGAAAGATAGAGTCCAAATTTATGTATATTTTCTGTCCTACTGCCTTGGGTGAATATTATGGACTAGAGAGTGACTTCTGGTCCTTCAGTGGGATTTCTTTCTGAGCTCAAGAAATTTGGTGATACCAATGATTTATGTTTGTTGCTTTGTGCTTTAATCCCATTACCAATTTTGGTTTTACTGATTCCCACATAAATGTTTGCAGATGGTTATACTGTACAGAATCAGGCTGGTCTTGGCCTGACTGTAATCCCTACTGTGATTTTGATACCGCTTCAGTACGTCATGTTTGGAATTGGTGAGTATTTCTTTAATGTATGGAAGAAAAAAACCTGAGCCACTCCCATAATCTACAAAATGTTCTCATTTTTATAAACAGATGCTACAGTAGCATCCTGGGTTCATCACATTTGTAGTATCTTGAAACAAAATGTTTAGCCTGTGTTTGTTGGGCTGAGTTGCTTCACAGAAGAAGTAGGGATTACCTGCTTGAACAGTGAGATTTAGGGTAGCACATCTGAGTGATTTCTGCTCTTCCTGCCTGGGTTTAGGGACTGGGTTGAATAACTAGCTCTGAGATTGTGGGTTCTATATTTTAGTACTTCTGGTTTGTTTGTAATGTTGTTTATATACATATAATTTTATATATGTGTGTATACATAGAAGAGCCTTGACTTGCAGTGACTTTTGGGTTTGTTAGCACACTGACTGGCTGAGCTTAGAATTTAGGAGAATCTGATTTCTAGCTTTATGCAATTATCTGCCTTCTGTGACTCTGTAGTTAAATTTTACAATTTTGTTTCTTTTATTCCCAGTTTTTGACAGTCTAATGCAGGCAACGTTGGCTCTGATAGGTTTGAAACTTCTTGGTTTTATAATTGCTGTGGTTGGTTTTGCACTGTGTGTCCCAGGTAAGCAGTTAAGTGTTCTGTGAAAGTGTGCTCTTGTCTACACCTGATGTTTGTTTATTTCTAACACTAAAACTTTGTAAAAATTGTTTCACTACATGGAATGTTAGCTAGTAACTTCTGTAAATATAGTTTAGGACTGCTGTGCTAATGCTTTTTTTATCTGGTGAAAGAGGAATAGCCTAAAGGAAGCGTTACATACATCAGTTTCATGACTGCATTCTGTGCAGCTGCTTTAAAAAAAAAAGCTAATTGTTTTAATTTTGCATAATAGTGTTGGTTTTGGATAGCTAGTATTGTTATTCTTATTGTGGCCTAGGGTATTTAGAAATAACTTTCTCATGCTCAGTGATTAAATCAGAAATTCCTTGCTAATCTCTGCTTGTATGCAACTGAGCCCATGGGTATTTCAATGAATACTGTTAAAACACATTAAGAAGGTAAATGCAGAAACAGTAAACTTGGAAGTGTTCTTGGGCTGTTGTAAGTGGGGTTGTGGCTGACACTTTGTTTCATCTCTGAAAAACTGTTTCTGTGGTCAAGGAACACCAGCTATATCCCTGGCCCTGTCCTCCCTTTGTCCCTCCCTGCCTTTCCCTGTGCACCCCACAGCACAAAAAAGGGTCAATTTAGGACTAGTTGTCCTTGGCAGTATATTTAGTAGGAGAATACATATTCGTCTTCCTTGTAGGCACTTTATGCTCCTGATTTATTGTTTTGTACAGATACTCTCCATTTTAGCCATTGATTTGGTTGGGGATTTATGACCTATTTCTCCTTGAAGTAGTTTTTTAAAGATTTGTCCAATCTGGGTGAAATGCTAACCCTTCCAGTGGAGTTGTGATTTGAATCTTATGCTTCTTGTTTAGTATTTACAGAAGTATTTGGAAGTTATAATAGTAAAATGAACTGATGAGAGATTTCTGGTAAAGCATTAATACAGGTATTTTTTGGAGGATGTTTTTATAATGCCTGTAAATGAAAAGTGTCCCTAGTTTTTTCAGGGTGTCCTTCTCCCAGGTCATACATACATGGTAGCATTACCTGTATCTCTGGGAGTTCAGCTCAGTGACCCTGAACTGTCAGAAGAAACCAAAGCTCATCCTGTGTTGAACTGACAGATTAATTGTAATAACTATAACTGTATTGTATTGTCATCTAATACAATTACAGTCCAAAGCAATGGGGATTGAGGATGTAAGTTTAAACTTAAAATACTGCTAATGAAAGAACATTATCAATTGCAGTGAATGACCATGGAGTACCTAAACTAGTAGAATAGTTCAGATAAGCAGGCTAAATCAGTAAATGCCTCTATCACTAAAGAACGTATTAAAAAAAGGAAAGATGCAGAAGTAGTTCTGGAATAGCTTTGCAAGTGAAATTAATCATGCCTGTCATTATCAGGTTTATTTATTTTACTAAGCAGTTATATCTGAAAATAGGAGCTTGTTCTTTTTTTGGGTCAGTTGATACAGTTATTTTATTGTGTTTTTCCCAGCCTGTCCTCCATTACATGGGTCTGTTCTGATTGCTGGCTTAGCTATTATGGCTATTGGAAGTTTGCTTAGTCTGGCTTACGTGTTTATTATGGGTAAGTAGCACCTAATATTCTGCATTATTTTCCTTTAAGGTAGACATAATTTATGTGAGCACAAGGTGTGATTGCACAGTTACATAATTTTAAAAATTACTGAAAAGTTGTCTCTATGTGTTGGCTTTGTTTCATAGAGCTTGTGGGGAATCTTGAGTTAAGAAACCCACAGTTCATCATCATAAACTGTTTTGAGATCAACATAGCCAGGTTTCTAAAGTAAGAATATTTCAGTTGTAGGAGGGATGTTGCTGTTCAAGTTCTGCATTTACACAGTTGGCCAGCTGAATCTTAGAATGAAGAGAGCAAAAGGGTGTCAAGGATTCTGTTGAGTGGGTTGTGGGATGGTGATGACAAAAGCTTATCAAAACATGGATTTAAAGAACTAAAAAATCTGCCTACTGATTTGCACTGGTTAGAGGTAGGTTAAAAGAAGAGCAATTTCAATGCACACCTTTTGTTTTAGTGAACCTTGTCTTTCCTCCTGCTTAGTTTTAAAATCCAGGAGAAAAGAATAGCAAGGCATTGTTTCAGAAACTGATCTGTTCATCAGATCTCAGAAAGATGAAAGATTTAAAGATATGCTAAATGAGCAAAACCTAGCAATGCTGTGTGATTGGAGTGCTGGCACACCACAGCATAACATTGTGTGGACTGTACCAGCTTGGGTCAGAATGACATTTGTTTCAAGCTGTGCGCAAAGGCTCTTCAAACACCTGTTGTCCACCTTCTGTGGACACAGAACAGTGCAATTGAGGATATGTTGCTTCCAGACTCAAGCTGCTGAAATGTTTACAGTGAGTGCAGTCACGAGTCTGCACTGAGCCATACAGGTTTAATGTGTGCACATCGTGTGTGGGCATGGCCAGAAATAATAAATCCTGAAACAGGGAGAATTTCCAGTAGAGAAGAAATTTGGGCAGAATGCCTAATATTTGAGATCCAAGATAAATTTATTGACTTCGATTTATACAAGTATATATTTGTATAGTATTGACTTCAATGCTTTGTGCTCATGGTCTGCATAAATATTGCATTTCTGTTTTGATTGTGCTAGCTGAAGAAGCCAAATGTGACTTTGGGGTAGACTCTAGCATGCCAAAATAAGCACAATGAATAGTGAGTAGCCTAATTCACCTTTAGAGCTGAGTGCATGAGTGAAGCAATTTACACACTGTACTTGATAAGATGCTTTAGTGCCTAAACAGAAAAGTGCTTAGAGGCTCTAAGACTTTCCAGATCATAGAATTAATGAATTGGATAGGGGAAGCTTCAATTATGTGTGTTACAAGTCTGTTGAAAGTTGTATCACCAGACAATACCTTTTCCAAGGTAACAAGTGACAAGATGAGATGAAATGGCCTCAAGTTGTGCCATGGGAGGTTTAGATTGGATATTAGGAAAAATTTCTTCTCTGAAAGGGTGGGCAAGCATTGAAATAGGCTGCCCAGGACGTGGTGAAATCAAGATCACTGGAAGTGATGTTTAGGTGGGCCCCTGGGGACATGATTTAGTGGTGAAGGTGATGCTGCTTGGGTTGGGCTTGCTAATTGCTTGAGCTTGATGTTCTGGGAGGTCTTCTCCAACCTTAATTCTATGGTTCTCTGTTTTTATTTGGTTTGTTGTGACATTTATTCATCTGCTTGGTCACTTTTTGTAATTATTTTAGGTTCCAGAATGAAAGATCATCCTCGTCCGGGGGTAAGCTTAAAATTAATAAATTTGGGGTGACTAGATGGCTCAGGGGATTGTAGTGAGATACTGAACCTTTCTTCACTAGTTCGAATTCAGACCAGGTTGGTAGCAAGCAACAGTTCTGGCTGTGTTAACAGATGTCTAATGTTGAGTGAGTTGGTGGTCTCCATTGTCCCTATTGAGTGTGTCTGTAGTACTGTGACTGCCACCCCGACATAGTCCTGCCCAAACAGGGCTTCCATTGCTGTCACTGAAAGCTGGTGGGAGTTTGCCCTTCTTTTACAATGCACTCTTCCACCTGAGTATTTAAAGGCCATTTTGCTCACTTGATTAAAAAGTTTTATCATTAGGTGAGTGCAAAACATCCAGGTGGCCTGTAAAAAAAGACTTAAAAGGTTTTTTCCTATGATCTTGTACACCAGAACCCTTTGGTATTCTCTTCAGTTCCTGGCTATGCAGATGGCATAGCCTTGACCTTTTCTCTGATTTTCCTATCATGCCCCCTAATTTGATGAGACCTTCTGAAAAGAAAGTGCCTGTCTTTAGGTAACACAGAACAAATTGAAAAATACCTTGGGTTTTTTTTTAAAGAAGGTTTTTCAGTTGGTAGTTTTGAATCGTAGAATAATAATTTCCAAAACAGTCATTTTCACAGACTTACACAGTGCTTTTGAGTGATCCATGAATGTGAACTGCCTCATTTCTGGTATTTTCCAGAAGCAAAGAAAGAGGCACAGCTGCAGAATACCAGTAAAACTCCCTTGTAGCAGGGGGATCTGGCAAATGCTAACTCATCCCACCTCTTGGATGCCAGCCATCATTGGAGACACATTTTCAGGTCTCCAGTCTAGAGCCTGAGACCCAGCTGTTGAAGGAAGATGGTTTCTAACAGTGACAGCTGACTGCAGTTAGGACAAGAGATTTTTAGGCTTTTTTAATTTCCTTCGCTTTTGCTCATCCATTTTCATTGTAAGGATGAGTATTTCAGAGGATTAGTCTTTCTTTATGGAAGGAATATAAGTGCACAGAGTTTTAAAAAAAATAGAAGGAAAAGAGGTTAAGAGATAATTATGTTATAAAAATGAGCTGAGAAGTGAATTGAAGATATGCTTCATTGAAAATGAAATCTTGCCTTTATCTGACATCCTTATGCTTACTTGTAGAATGGAAGTAAACTGGGCAAGAGGAGGGTGGGTTTTTCCCCCCTTAACTTTTACAATCTTTTGCTTGTAAATAAACTTAGAACTAGGAACCAGCATGCACACTAGCATCCTTTGATGAGAACTCTGCTCTCTTTATGAGCTGTTCTCCTCACAGAACACATCTCCACAGAAGATGTGGTCTTCCATGGCAGTGAGGAATTAAGAAATAAATAGCCACAGCAACACAGGAATGAACATTATGTTACTCTCTGAATTTGGGACAGCAATGAAATCAAAAGAAGTTTTTTAAACTTAGATGTTGTTGGAAACCTCAGCAAATACAAATATGTTCTTTGCAGCTGCAGATAGCTGAGAGCCAGATAGAGAGGAATTCAAGTGATACAATTTGTGTCCATGAACTTACAGCTGCTAGGGAAAGACCTGGTGGAAATTGGAGTGTGTTAATATGCTGCTTGTTTCCATCAAGGGCTGTTCAGCCTGTATTGCTGTGCTTTGAGGCAATAAATAGATGTGAAGTAATTTTCAGAACACATTTTTATTCTGTGTCATCTAAGGACTATGGAAAACTTAATATTGATGAAGGGCATCATTTTGACACTGGGGCACACTTAAAAAATTATTCTTGAGATTTTCCTGAGTCAGAGGGCAAAAGAAAAATTTTGAAATCTGCCATCTTAACCAAGTACAGATTTTTTTTTAGCATTTCTGTAGGTTGCATGTGTTGTTTCTGATGATTGTCTACCAGACTAAATGCACAACTGTCGTGTATTTCTTTTTGAGGAGATTCCACTTGATTTGCTTGGCTACTAATTTTCTTTTCTTTTTTAGTCCTGCTGCTTTGTTACTAACCATTGATCAAATGACAGAAATAATCAGTTAGGTTTTAGAGCTTAAAAGTAGTATCTGCATGGCTTCCGCTGCCACCTAGGGGTATTTCATCTGGGTAAACATCACAGTAAGGGAAAACAACCTTGGAGAATGCAGCAATTGACTGTCAATTTTTTTTTTTGTTCAGACCTTTAGTCATTAATTTGATTAACGTTGAGCTTTCTTCGTTTTTGTAGAATCACTACTTACTGTATATGTCAATTAGAGTAATTTAACTGTGGCCAGCCAGAAGTAAACATGAAGGCTTTTTATACATATATATATTTTTAAATGTTTTGCAGAAAGCTGTAGAAGAACCACTAAATGGTAGGTGATATTCAAGGTTTATCTTCTCATAAAGGGATTAATTATGGATAAAGATGGTTCTAATTCCCAATACCACAGCACTAAGATGGCAGATCAGTGTGGCAACTTATGTGGCTCGCTGAGTCAGTAAGAGTTTGATTTCTCTATGAAATGTTGCCTACAGCTCCAGACTCCCTGTTTTATGCCACTGTGCTTCCTAGCCAGAGGCACTGGTTGACTGTTTTAGGACAAATCTAGTATCTCACGATACTATGTCCACCCTCTTTGCTTTGCCAAATGTCCAGCTTTTAAGGGAAGAAGAGGGACTGGTATTGAAAATAGATGTTAATTTTCATAAAGATTTATTTAGGTGAAATACTTAATGATCACAGCAAAATCTATCCTTGCTATGCTATTCTTTTCATATTTCCTTGGGTTGGGAAATGCTCATAGCACTTAAGGTGAGGGAAATTCACAGTGAAACTAGGATGACTTTATTTCCTTTTTTTTTTTTTGAGTTTGTTTTTTTTTTGCTATTATATTCACTAATTGGCATGCTAAGTAGTAGCAAATTCTAACCTGAATTTTAGAATTAACCTGAATTTTAGAATTAACCCAAATATTTACTGTGAAACATTAATTTCTGTTTTATTCATTACTAACCTTTTTTTTTTGACTTTTAAAGATGCAAAAGGAGTGATGTTAGAATGATGGTAAGTCTAACAGGTATTTGTTTTAATGGCTAAGCATTTGAGGGTTTTGGTGTTTAGAGTAACCCAGTGCTAATTCAGTGAAACTTGGAGGACCGGTTTGAGGGCAGGTGCTGTTCTTATTCAAATTATATATAATTGAAAAGAAAAAATACATCAAACATAGGGGAAGAATGTGTATTCCTAAACAGTGAAGAGGATGAGTCAGTGGGAGAACTGTGCAATAGTATGTTTCTGATCAAATGTGGAAAGTCAAATAGCTTTGTTTCCTTTATGCTCATGTAGTATTTGCAATGTTTCCTTGGTGGTGGGTTGTGTATGGGGGGGGGGTTGTTTGTTTATTGTTGTTGATATAATTCAGCTTTCTCTCTTGAATTTAATTGGTGATCCCCAATGGAAATTCACAGGAAGGTGGTTTAAAATTAACTTCCTCTCCCCCTTCTTTAGATGTTATTTGAATTCTCTGGGTTTTGTTAGATTGTATTCCAATGAGATTCCACTCAATTTATTATTTTTCAGATTGCTCTCATTGAAGAGCTTAAATTTTAGGCTAGATGATAAGGTTTGAAAATGAAAACAGTATTATCAAGTCTTTTCTATTCAGCAGCTGTACTTTTCATGGAAATAGGATAAAAAAGCACTTATTGGTGCTATTGGTACTTATGTTTCTCCCTGAATACTGAGCAAGCTTGTCATGAGGTATCACTAGACCCTTAGTTTAGTACTCCTGCATTCAATTACAACATTTTGCTACTTGAGATAAAGAGTAAGGTCACTCCAAATTGGTTAGCTCACTTGAAATAATTTTATATCATGCCATTTCTAAGAAGTATGGATTGACAGTGAGGAAATAAATGAGGTACTAGTTAGGTCTAATTGGAAAAAGGTGTATGAGTTGAGTTTTAAAAACAGGCTTCCTTACAAATACCATGTGCTGTTCGGTTTGTGTTACTTATGACTGCTACATTTGGTTCATCCAAATATCCCGTATAATTGTTTCCCAAACCAACAGGGTTTTATATCAACTTGTTTATATCAACAAGCACTTCTACAGTACAAAGGACAAGTGCATTGTTGTCTCATAAACACATTGATAAATGTGGACCAGTTAGTTATATCAATGTAGAATTGATAAATGTATACCAGTTATCAATTCTCCATTGATGAATGTGTACCAGTTAGTGAGCTCCAGTAATCTGAGCTGGATGGAGTGGAAGGCAGGGCCTCCTCCAGAATTGGCTACTGCTTGTTCTTGACAGAGTTGAGACCAGGAAACAAGTAGATATTTGCCAGTTTATTGCATTCAGAGCAGACCAGAATGGTTATCCAGCAGAGCAGGATGGGCTCTCTGCAGTTACCTCATCCTACTGAAGAACAAGGCAGAATTTTGCTTGGAGATCCAATTTTAACTAAGTTGCCTGTTTTTTTCTTGGGTCTCATTTAGGTTATGAAAACCTACCTTCTAGTGCTGAGGTGGAGCTTCCAGAAGCACAGAAATTGTCAATTACTTGTTTAATTTTAGGGTAGAGCTAGAAGTCTGTCTGCTTTTTCTGCTCTGAAAGATGGCTCCTAACCAGTGACAGAAGGTTCTACAGATGGAAGGCAAATGCTCTGACTCACACGCTGGAGGCAGTAACCTTTTGAGCTCTACCTGCTTCTATGTTAACCTGCTCTGGAAAATTCACACACAGACTGAAGCAGGGATGAATCAGACGCTGAAGCTGACTAGCTTACAAAATAGCCTGTGAAAGTAAACTATCATTAGAATATATGGGCAGGGTGGGTCAGACAGCTGAGCCTGTGAGCCACTTCAGCTTATTCAAATTCACGAGTGAAAGCTCCAAGATAGTGTCCACCTTTGTTTTGTGGAGAGGCTGAAACATCACTTGCTGTTAGTAACACCTTCTTCCACTATTTGAATGCTAAATATGCTTTCAATATTGAAATGAAAAAAATAATCTGTAATCTGTCAAGTAAGCTGTGATTTGTGTCGGCAGCACAAAACATTGCTATTCTTCCCAAACAATATTTCTTTTTCTTTCTTTTTAAATTCCCAGAACTGCAGAGCTATGTGATGCGTATATAAAAAGTACACCATTGTTGATACACCGTGGCCTTGAAGATGCACTACTCAACGAGAAGAAATTCAGGAATCTAGTTGTTTTGCATGTGTGGCAAAAGTGCTTTTGATATAAATGACATAATTTTATAGTCACAGCAGCTGTAGCAAGGAACATGTGTGTTTGCCCACATGTGATCTTTATTTTCTTTTGTTATGGTGTATATGGGATGGTTGAGGGTGAGAATATAAAAAGCACTATTTGCCCAGTACAGAGTCTCCCAGCAGTAATCCTTAGTGGTACTATTTTCAAAAACTATCATTAATCACTGCTTTGATAATGGGCCTGCTGAGCCCAGAGATTGCAATACCATTTAGACTATTGCTTTCTTTATTTGTGTGCATGGACAAAGTATGGTTTTTTGTGTATGATACAAGCAGGAAGTACAGATTGTACAAATACATCTTTTCTGACATTCAGCAAATTTTTATAAAAAAAAAAAAATAAAAAGTTACACACAAAGTTGCATAAGTACAAAGTTTACTCCCAGCTCTCCTGAAATTATTAACAGAGTTCTAATTCCATGAAACATTAGTATTCCTCTCTGTGGACAGTAGTCATGTGTGCTCTGGTGGCTGATCTTTTTGTCCAGTGAGAGGGCTCTCGGTGCCTTCTCTGTATCCTTTGATGCGAAACTGCTCAGCTCTTGGAGCCTAATTCAGCACTGGAATTACAGAGCACAGGAGCTGGTAATCTTAATGCTGAATGTGGTTCTTGTGTGTGTTCATGTTGTGCAGTGTGTGGAATTGGAAGCAATTTCAGGCTTTCTTAACTCAGTGAATTTGTGAAAGTCGTGGGTGCTTCATAAAAATAGGAGTTGTCCTATTTAGTGTATTTTTGACGGAGTTTAAAATCTTGTTTTCTTGAATTATGATTTCTGGCCCAGGTTTGTGTTGCTGCCATTACATCACAAATACATAAAATAAAAAGTAGGAGGAGCTGATGAGGAGTGAGGAAGCTCAGTTTCTGTATATATCTATTAAAAAACAGTTTACTAGGACTTGCACATTCCATGAGATTCTGCTATGTTTTACAGCTGTTTTGAGAGTTGTTCCAATATAGTTGGCTGCTCTTGGACTTTGTGTATGCTTTGTAGAAATCTTGACACTGTTTCCCGTTTGTACTAAGGTACTGTATTTCAAAGGCACACATGGTTTTCTCCTTCTAACGATTTAAAACTTGGTTTGGAAAGCTGTTGCCAAAAAGTCTTGTAATAAAATCTATGTTTTTAAAGATCCTGAGTAATTTGGCACTTCTCAGAGTGGAATGTTGCAAATCAAGGTTCATATCCATGTTGTTGGGTGCATGTTGCAGGGATTTGGGTCTCTGCACATTGAGCTCCGAGTCGCATTAAGAATTCAACAAAGCAAAATTGAGGTCTCTGATTTTACAGTAGGTGCTGTGCAATTTTCCCTCTTGCCAAGGCTGCAGGATTGAACCACTTAAAGCAAGCCATGGTCCAGCCCTCACTGGGATCACTGGGACACAGGGAAGAGGATCACCCATGCAATTAAATTATGGGAGAAGCAGCTACGGCTCACATTTACTGTCCTACTTTGCCAGTGGGAGTATTCATGTGAAGTTTGAGCTCTTACATATGAATCTTTTGGTGCAGGTTTTTCCATAATCTCAGTGATATCTAATTAAAGATGGGAGGTAGTTCTCCATTACAATTTGGTATCATTTTTTTTCTAATTTAGTACTGTGCAGCGCTCCCTGTTTATAACTAGTGATTCCCTCTGGCAAGTTGAAAATCTTAGCAGCAGAGGAATAAAAAACCAAATCAGCTGCAATTCTGTTGAGGTATTCTGCCTTACAAAAACAGTTATGTGTAATAGCTTTATGTTAATTTCTGTAAAGCAAACTGCAGCAGAACCCCACTGTGTCACCGTGGGATCAGGCCGAGCTGTTTCTAGGAATTGTCAAAACGTGAGGAGCTCAGTGGCTGTCTATGGACTGCAGAATCATGGCCCCAGAAATGGGAGAAACCCACCATCCTCTTGTGTTAAGGGCTGGATTTCTTCTAGGTGGGAATTGAAAGGCGAGAGTTTAAAAAGTCATTGGTACACCCAGCCAGCCCTTTCCCACCAGTAATTTAAACCAAAGTTGTTCATAACTGTATGCTTTCGTTTGTGTGTGTGTACATATGTGTGTATATATAAATATATAGACATTTTAAATATCTCTAGATCTATAGTCTTTACCCAAGAAACTGTTTTTATTTATGAAACATGAAATGATTTTGTAAATACTGTGCTAATATACTTAAAAAATAAAGTCATTTTAAGTTGTTTTTGCGGGAGATTTTCTTGTTCCTAGCACACTGAACTTCTGTAGCTGCTTCTATAAATTCACAGTCACAGCTGCTCTTCTCCCTGTCTTTATGTATTACTTACTGGATCTGTAGGAATGTTCTCAGTGTTACATAGGCTGCTGCAGATGATTTTGGGTGGGTTTCTCCTTAGAAAGGTCATCCAGATGGTGAAGCAAATATGTAGGCTGCCTTGGAATGACTTCAGTTCTGCTCTCCAACATCAGCCATCAAATGTGGTCACCCAAGTGTGCTGTGGGAGGAAATGAGGAGTAACAAGCTGCTGCTGCCACTGTAACTGCAGAAACAGCAGAGCAGCACCTCTGTCCAGTCTCTCTGCAGCCCTGGAATGGTATTTCTGTGAGAAGAGGACCCCTTGTGCTACTGCTAAAGCACTGCTGGATAAGTTCTGGATTTCCTGAAGTTGTTTTTAATGTTCATTTGACTGTGGAGAGAGGAGCTGCAAGTCCTGCTTGGTAGGCTTTCCGCTCACACATCCTCTTCAGTGGAGCCGAGCTGATGGGAACAGTGGAAATTATTGGCAATTCCCTCGTTTGTTCAAGGTGACTTTAACTGTGGCTCTTGAACTTCAGTGTCTCTTCAGAAGTGTTGTGTGACTTCCCTAGACACACGCTTTCCTCTCTAAAGGAGCCATGAACCACAGAATTTTAACAGTTTTAAGCGTTTTCTGTGCAGAGACCCAACTGCAGGGTGAACTGCAAGCTCAGGAAAACTGCATGCTTGAACTTTGGGGTGAGGGAAATGGTGCTAATCTGAATGTGTGTGACTGGAGAACATCTCAACACAGTATCCAGACTGCTCCAGTCAGTTCAACCAGGAAAACCAACCCAAGCCTCAGCTTCCAGTCCAGAAGCCTTCTGAAAACGCTGGATCAGAGCTCCATGATTCAGCAGTTGCTACAGAGTTACCTACCTAAGAGTAGAAGTGAACAGCCAGAGCTCTTTTCCACTTCGCAGAAGAATTTATATCTATGTCCTATGGAAAATAATTATTTTTGCTCTAGTGCTCTGTGCCTTTGTCATAGATGCAGCCAGTACTGTCTTGGACTTCAGACACTTGCTTCCTGTATCCTTGAGGACTTTTGAAAAGCTTTCACAAGGAGAAGGTGTGAGCTGGACTTCCTCCAGTTTCCCTGTCGGTTCCCTACTGTGTCTGTGGCAGAAGCGCAGCAGGGGTAGGGCATGGCCTGGGAGCTGCACCCCAAACCCCTCACACTGCAGCTGGGCTGCAGGAAAAGGGCAAGGAGTACTCATAAAGTACAAGAGAAGGGCAGAACCAAGACTGTTTTTCAATGAAATGATGAATTGGCAAGAAACTTCAGTACACAAATGTAAATAGCATGGAGACAAGGATCATCTGCTTTGGGGGAGGAAAGCTGCAGTATTGAAACAAATTTTGGTTTCCTTCTGTTCTTTTGCTTGCTTGTTTTTAAAGACTACAGAAAGGCTTTTGAAATTATTGGGCTGGAGAGTGGGTGCTGTGAAGGGAAGAGAGAGTCTGCCATGAATACAAGTTTAGTGGGAGAATTGAAGAGCACAGGAACTGCAAGATTGCTGGAAGAGCGTGAACAGTTTCTCCTAACATCGCTAGAATTGGTACTTTTGGACTCTCCAGAGTTATGGGACTATTCTATTTCATTGGTGAAAGGGTTGTCAGGCATTGGAACAGGCTGCCCAGGGAAGTGGTGGAATCATTGGATGTTTTGTTGACAGGGTGGTGTTCAGTTAAAAGTTCCATGATTCTGTGCAGTGCTGCTGTCTGCATGTGACCAAGCAGCTGAGCACGTGGAGGTCCTTGGGGATGTGCAGTTGTCACATGAAGTCAGACTCTACCTCCCCACCTCAGTGATGTCCCCTGGGCACAGCAACTGCTTGGTGCAGAGTAAGGTCTGGCAGACCTTCCACTTGAATTAAAGTACTGAATTTTACTGTCATTCACAATTTATGTACCTGAAGATAGCGAAAGATTCTGAAACTGCTCTGGTAATTAATCTGCCCCCTTTCCTACCCCATCCCACAGTCCCTCAGCCTTTTTTTTAAGGCTGCACAATGGGTGGATGCAGGTTAGACTTGGCATGGTTACCAGACCTGAGGAAAAACAGAGACATTTTTCAGAACTTAGCTTGAGGGTACTTGTATTTAGTTGCACTCATTTAACTTTCCTTCTTGTCTTCCAGAAGTGCTGCAGGAATTTCTTTTAGAGCAAGAACATTTGATTGTATTTTGGGCAATTGGGTTTTTTGGGGTTTTTTCTGTGTAAGAAAGCATCATTCTTTAATAAACTAGATACATGGGAAAGAGCTAAAAAAAACCAACCCAAAAACCTAGCAAATCAGTGGAAATGCACTGTGCTGTTAAACCAGAAGGTTCATCCAAGGACAAATGTCACTTCAGACAGTAGTAAGGAGAAAAGGGATCTTTAAAATCTATTCATTGCAATTAATTTCATCTAAGTTTGAGCAAAGACAGTTTAAGATAGTTTCATTGAAGAAAAAGGTGGTCAGGGTTCCTGACATTTCTTACTAGTTCAGCTCAATGAAAAAGAAAATTAATCTATTGAAGATGAAGTGGAAGTAAAGGCACTGTGTTGTATGCAGAGCTCTGCAGGTATGTGGGTTAGCCTAGGTAGAACTTGGAAGCTTTGATTTGTCCCACATCAAGAAACACTGAGAATTTAAGGATTGTAATAAAATTATATAAATTGTAATTAAAGGAGCCCGTCATGGAAATAGATTCCTTTGTATCCTGCACTGTAATTACAAAACAGGTTTTCAGAAACAATCCCTCTGTAGCTGGAATTACATTTAAGAATGAAAATGCTGCATCAGGTTTTGACAGAGCCAGACATTTACTGTTCTAGGAAGTTTGTGATGTTTTGGTTGGCACAGATAAACAGGTACCACTGCAGGAACCTATAATGTCCTCCCTTACCTGGTCTGTAGGTAGGAAAAAAGTTATTTTTTGATAGACTGAACAAGCTGAACACTACTGTGATGTTGTTTAATGTGACAATGTAAAGAAACATGGCTTAAAAAGGTGGTGATGGGGAGGAGGGCGATTGTTTTTTCTTTACAGTACCCCTTACCTGCCCTGTCCTCTGATGCTGTGGCCACTGGAGAACCTCATCCCAGCAGAAGACTGGCTAGGGAGCACTGGGGCCCTGCTGGCTTTCCTGCTGTTACACCCTGGGTGCCTCCTCCATTGCTCCCATGGCAGCAGCACAGCTGCTCCTCCCAGGATGCGGGGAGAGTGGGACATAGAGCTCCTCTCCTGCCTGCAGCAGGGAGAAAAGAGGCTTCCACAAGGGAAGGATGAGTGGCCATGGATGCTCAGTAGAGCCTTGGAGCAGGGTATTAGATGTGGCACCCTACCATCCTTACAGCTCTGTTTATTTAACAAAGGTGATGCTTTGATAGTACCCTGTTAGGGTTTCCTAGCCCTGTTAGGTTTTCCTTCATGCTGCCCTTTTTTCATCATACCAGTTCTCTGGGAATGATATAAATCAAATAGTAATGGGCAACTGGGGAATCAAATCACCATATTCCGAACCATGAGGCAGCTGTTGGTGTTTGCAGTGGTGGTACACCAGAACACCAAAGCATAAACAGCTTCAAATGTCTTACTGAGCAGGAAATGAAGCTGCTTACAGCATCAGTGAGGAAGTACAATTAACTTGGGATAGAATACGTCACGACTCTGGCAGTCACAGGGAAGGTGACAGAAGAAAAGATGGTTCCTGTCCCCCATGGCCAGCTAAAGGAGCTACATCTGTTTCATTGGTGGTGACAGTGCAAGCTCTTGACATGCTCTGTGGGTGAATTAATAGCACAGTGCATGTCCAAGGCAAGGAGGGAAAAGATGCTAAAACAAAACAAACACAAGAGAAAAGCCCTGTGCTGAAAGGTACAAGTCAC